GCAAAAGAACGTATGAAACTGCTAGCGGTTCTGTACCAGATGGTACTGAAGATAAAGAAGAAGAACCGAGACGTGGTAAAAGGGTAAAAATGGCAAAAACGTTTGGACCGGATTTTATTACGTATATGTTGGACGATGAACCGAGTTCCATTAAGGAAGCTCTGTCTAGCCCAGATGGACCACTCTGGGAAGAGGCTATAAATAGCGAAATCGAGTCCATTATACAAAATCATACTTGGGAGTTGGTTGATCTCCCTGCGGGTTGTAAATCTTTAGGATGCAAGTGGATCCTAAAAAGAAAATACAAAGCTGATGGAACGATTGATAAGTTTAAAGCAAGATTAGTGGTCAAAGGCTTTAAACAAAAAGAAGGGTATGACTTCTTTGATACCTATTCACCTGTTACGCGTATATCGTCTATTAGAGTGCTTCTCTCGATTGCTGCTTTGCACAATCTTGAGATTCATCAAATGGATGTCAAAACGGCATTCTTGAATGGTGAATTAGAAGAAGAGATTTACATGGAACAACCCGAAGGATTTGTAGCACCTGGACAAGAGAAAAAGGTGTGCAAATTGATCAAATCCTTGTACGGACTTAAACAAGCTCCGAAACAATGGCATATGAAATTTGATGACGTAATGTTGTCAAATGGGTTCAAAATCAACGAATGTGACAAATGTGTTTATGTTAAGAACACATCAAACACATATGTAATTGTATGTCTATACGTAGACGATATGTTCATCATGGGGAGTAGCCATGAAGTGATCATGGATACGAAACGTATGTGGAAAAGAAATTTCGACATGAAAGATATGGGTGTAGCTGATGTAATTCTTGGAATAAGAATTATCAGAACCCATGATGGAATTGTCTTGTCACAATCTCATTACGTAGAGAAAGTGCTCAAGAAATTCAAAGCCTATGACGGTCCTCTGTCTAGAACACCCCTTGATCTTAGCTTAAATCTGGAAGCCAATAAAGGTCAACCAGTTGCTCAATTGGAATATTCAAGGATAATCGGGAGTCTAATGTACTTGACGAACTGTACACGACCAGACTTGGCCTATCCGGTGAATAAGTTAAGTAGATTTACGAGCAATCCCAGTCATGAGCACTGGAATGCTTTGAAAAGGGTACTGAAGTACTTAAAGTATACCCTTGAATACGGGCTAAAATACTCGAGATATCCAGCAGTACTTGAAGGGTACAGTGATGCTAGCTGGATATCGGATTCGAGAGATTCTCACTCCACAAGTGGATATGTCTTCTGTATCGGAGGAGGAGCTGTTTCGTGGAAGTCCACAAAACAAACTTGTATAGCTCGGTCAACCATGGAGTCGGAGTTCATTGCTTTAGATAAAGCTGGTGAATAAGCCGAGTGGCTTCGAAACTTTTTATCTGATATTCCATGTTGGAATAAACCTTTGCCGCCTGTGATGATTCACTGTGCTAGCCAAGCCGCTATAGGAAGGTCGCAAAGTAACATGTATAACGGTAAGTCTAGACATATTCGTCATAGACATAATACCGTTCGACAATTGATCACAAATGGTATTATTTCCATTGACTACGTAAAGTCTAAGGAAAATTTGGCTGATCCTTTTACTAAAGGATTGAATAAAGATCAATTGGGAATACTGCTAGAGGGAATGGGATTAAAAATCCACAATGAAAAGAATGATCATAGTGGTAACCCTACCTTGCTGAATGGAGATCCCATAAACTTGGTTCAAGGGGAAAACTAAACTATGAAAATTCAGCTGAGCACTTGGAACATTAGAATGTCCAAATCTATTCCCTAAAGCAATCCAAGTGCAAGATAACCTGTTGATTGTGGTGAGGGTAAGTCATCTGGACTTTTAATGAATCCCTAACCTTTTAAAGGTAGAGTACTACAGAATACTCGTGATAGGGAGGTCACATATATAAGTGTGAAGTGAGGGCCGCTTCAATTGTAAACACTTATGAATCCAAAGCGTTGTCCATGGCCAAAACGGACACAACAATAGAACGGAATGGAGTTAAGGCTCTATTGTGTGAATGTCATTGTCTTGGGGTACACTATGGAGGAATAGTTCAAGGCACTATGTCCACTAAGCCGCTAGTACATCCGATGATGTTTGCTAAGAGAGGTTCAAAGCCACAAGCTACCTTTTCTGATTCAATAGAGTTTTGTGAGGATTGAGCACAAGAGTCTGCATACATGCATACATTTGATTTCCACTCATGTGGGGGATTGTTGGAAAAATCAGTTATAAAACTTGGGTTTGACCCGGTTTTGACTGAATTTTAATGGCTAAATATTTAATTTGGGTTGAATTAAATATTGTAGAAAAATTCTACCTTCCGAGTTGATACTCGTGGTATATTTATTTTCTCAAAACAGATTTTCGGTGAGTAAGAAATAAATTGTTGAAGTTAGCCATAAAAGGGCACGTAAAACGTTGGTTGTGGGATTTGAAGGGTCAAGAGTCATTCCCACATTGGACTCTTAAATGAGTTTAACTCTCTTTATTATAATAAAGAGAGTTGGAGAGGTTACAACAATCACAAAGCTATGTACCAAGTGTTGGTGTTGTTTTCGGCCACAAGCGCGCACGCACGTGCACCCGCCCGCCGGTCGGCCGGCCGGATCGGGCTCGAGCTCGGGACCGGGCCTGGGACTTGGGCCTTGGTCCTTGGTCCTTGGTTCTTGGTTCTTGGTTCTTGGCAATTTGACTTTGGGCTGGACTTGGGCGGTTGGGCTTGGGCCTTGGGCCCAATCACTATATATCTTTTTGCTGCAAATTTATTTGCAAGTTTAAGCCCAACTGAAAAATCCAATTCTAGATTTGGACGCGGGTTTTGACCCAACCCGAGTGAGACTTCTCCAGGTACAATGAACCTGGGCACATGTCTGTTCATGTGTAGTAACACCTGGTTAATGGCTGGTGTTAACACCTGGTTAATGGTGGAGTAACACCTGAAACGTTTTCAGGTTAATGGTGCCTATTATTTCTGCCTTAAGTGGCAGATGTGACTGTTGGTTTCCCTCAACAAGTGGAAGTCCTATAAATAGGACTTAGAACTGCAGTGGAAAAGAGATAACATTTTTCATGCATTCAGAATACTCTCAAAGCCTCACGCATCATATCATAGTGCTCAGTTCTCGTCTTCGTTTTCGTTCGCTGGAACTCTGAAGGCTGGTGTGCTACAGTTTCCAAGTGTATTGCCGTTGTATCTTTGGGGACATTACGCACAGACTCGTCAGCACTATACGACGTATTTGTCTTGCGGAAAGATTTCAATCGCCTCGGCTTTCAATCTGTCCGCGTTCGAGTTGTAATTTTTCTTTTGCTTTAGTTCTTCTTGTACGAACTGAACACTTCAGTCAGTTCATAGGTTCCCGTTGTAATCAAAACAGAATTTGTGTAACAAATCCATCCTCATATGATCTATTGTCGTGAAAGCTTTTCACCTCCACGTGCATAGGCTTAAATATGCTCTTAACACTTCTGTGGTAATAAATGCCATTAATACATCATTACTTTTTAAAGGATCACATGAAAGTTAAATGAAATTCTCCGCGTAGCTCTTCTTGATGGCATAACACGAATACATAAATGTTTTTCCACTTTGTAACACATGTTGGCTATTGGCTATATTGCTTATTTCCCGTTGCAACGCACAGGCATGATCTTAGTCAACAAATAAATGTAAAATGAGAGTAGTACATTTAAATCAATATAGATAGACATTACGAGGGATGCCAGGAACAAGAGAGAATGTGCATGCAAAAAAATTAAAAACGAAATCAAAACACATAAAAACATTGTTCAACCGAAGCCCACATAAGTTCACTAGTACAGTACATAATAAAGCGCCTGTATCTGCATACTGCAAGCAACATAATCCAGATACTAGTATTAAACATAATTTTCATAAATCAACTCAAGAAGCTCAATCTCCAGTGTCTGCATCCAGATTCTTTTTACCATGTCTTAACAAACAGGTTGGTGCTTCTTTGTCCTAGCAAGTTCTTCGCATGCACCTCAGATGGGAGTTTATTTTGTAGCTACTTTTCAGCTCGCTTCAGTGCTTTGCTTCTACCTGCATCAAAGAGAATAGCTCATATTATTTTTACCCAACAAGAACAAGTCTCATGTGTATCAGTAACTATAGCACAAAAAAATACAAAAAGAAACATAAAGGCAAGAATAAATTACGCATGTTTATTTTGGTCAAAAATATTCCAAAGTTAGTTTCTGTCATAAACGCAACTCAATACCGCGTCCAATTAGAATGCATTTGGTGATGCCCCGGACAGGCTCTGTGGGTGCAGCTTTTGCCATTGGGTTCACAGGAGGGGGGGGGGGGGTAAGCAAAAAAGTAGGCAGCGAGCTTGGCTCCCAAGAAACGAGATTCAAATCTGTTTCTCCCGAGCCACCCTCGTGAGATGCATGGTATTATCATGCCAATTATGGTATTAGCAAACAATTATCATGTTTAAGGCATATTATTACTATATTTCAACATAGATTAAGAATTAAAGATAAAAATAAGTATTAAGGACGATTCAAGAAAAATAAATATAAGCTGTTTAGTATTGATTTGACAGAATTCCACCATAGATAAAGAAAACTGAGTTGTGGCCTTGTCTACTTCCATAACATTTTTGCTAACATTTCAGAGGAGGGATCGCACACAAACAACAAAAAATCAGCTTAACACAAACTTATTTTTATTGGATTGCCAGGATTTGTTTAATCAACTGATATACAACACCGGCAACGCTTATCAATAACCCTCCACCGAATCACACAGTCATCAAGCCATAGCTCCTGAATTAAATGCACTAACCTGCTAAGCTCTAGACCCTACTGAAACCAGAATGGTACCAACACAGTGATTCACTATCTCTCATGGCAAGCATGGCATTCATACATATAGTCGCACATAAAAACATAAAGGGAACTTACCAGCATACAGAAGTTACCTTAATATTGCTCAGGTACCCTGCAGATCTCACTTGCACAGAAGTTCATGGTAGTCTTCTGGACATCAAGCTCAGCCAATCCTCGCAGTGTTGCCTTCCTCACATCGACAGCAAACATCATTGCCAACTTGTCCATGTTCCTGGGTCTGGTTTGAGAAATCAAGTAAACGACATCATCATCCATGCTTAGGATGGGATATCCCAACGGAAGTTCCTTCCACGTTCCTGTGGTCTTGCTGCTCAGCATAGCCATGAGATCAGAAAGACATGGGTCACCAGCCTCCAAGTTGATGTCTTTCACGTCAACTACACAGTCACAGCGCCAGCCCTCCGACGAACCAACCGGTATTGCCATGTTCCATGTTGTGGACTTCCAGCCATCACGCTTGAGCTGGGGTTTCCTTGAGCTATTGCGCACCCAGTCAGCATAGGAAACAGGGGTGGCATTCAGCTCTTCTGGTGACAGGACTTCCAACCATTCCAACTCAACATACTTGATCGAGTCTTTGTTCCGGCTGACAGTTACGTCCCGCAAATAGCCGGGGTTACCTCTGAGGAGGCGATCCCAGTTTGCCCTTGCCGGCTCCGGCAGCGGGACATCCTGGAGCTGTGGGCATTGTCTGAGCACGTCGCAAAAGAAGATGCCGCGCCAAAGGTCCACCCAAGCCACCGTGCCATGCGCACCGCCAATGGTGATGCACTTCGCCGTCTCGTGGTACAGCCTGTCGACTGCCCGAGGTAAAGGGATAAGTTTGTCCCTCTTGAACTCTTTCAGTGACAGCCGCTTGGAGATCCACCCTTCGGAACCTGAGGATGATCTGTACAGAGGAGGTCGAACTCCCAGCTAATGAGCTTGCGGCCATTTTACAGGGGGGGCCTAAAAGCGAGAGCAGCGACGGCAAACCAAGCGCCGTCCTCGCGGCTAATGAGGGCGGTTGCGGCGGCGTCGAGCGCCCCGAGGTGCGGGGGGTTCGGTACCAGATCTAGCCACTGGGCGCGCGGCCTGTAGACGAAGTGGTCCCAGTTCCAACCTGAGATGCTTCTGCCGTTGGGGTCGAGGGGAACGCGGAGGAGGACGAGATCCGCGTCAGTGGCGACGATCTTGGGCCCTATGCGGCTGAAGTCCAGGCCAGGGCAGTGGACACAGAAGTGGGAGACAAGTGGCGGGCGGGCGGGCGGCGCGGAAGGTCACCTCGATCGGCAAGCCGGTGCTCGTGGTGCTCTTGGCGGTGGTGTTGTTTGGGAGGTCGGCGATGTAGCACAACCTGTCGAGGAGGATCAAGCCTGAGGCGGCGGCGGGCTCGGGAAGTGAAGGTGGAACCCAGGAGGAAACAGTGGAGGAAGCCATGTCCCGATGTCCGTGAAAGACGAGGAAGCGGAGGAGGGGCGGTGAGGAGATCGGAAGGGATGGCAGCAGGCGGCGAGATTTGGGAACGAAATTTGGGGCTAGGGACCTAGGGTTCCCTTTGGGGGATTTTGTTGATGTAGTATTAGTGTTTTCCCTTTTGTACCCTTGTTTAGTTAGTTTCTTGTAGAGCAAGTATATGTATCCTTGTAACCCTAATTGATTTCATATATATGTGAGCGTCGTATACGAGATCATCAGATTGATATCTCGCTAAATGTATTTCTCCTTCTTCCTGCTTTGACATGGTATCTAGAGCAGGTTAATCTTTCTCATTTTTTTTTTCTTTTTTCTCGTTCTTCTACCATGGCTGGTACGAGTACCAGTACTGAGACTGTTTCCAGAAAAACGATCTCTCCCTACGATATCACTTCCAGCGATAATCCTGGCCTTTTAATTACTCCAGTTCAATTAAAATGAGATACCAACTATGAAGAATGGTCTCGTAGTATTCGCATCGCTCTTCGTGCACGCAAGAAGTTCGGATTTTTGGATGGTTCGATCGCCCGTCCTCCTGCCAGCAACGAGTTGTTTGAAGATTGGCAAGCAAACAACTCTCTTTTGCTCTCCTGGCTTATGAACAACATCGATACCACGCTCAGATCTTCAGTGGTGGAACCGGAATTTGTCGAGGACCTTTGGTCTTCCTTGAAGGAGCGATTCACTATGAAGAATGGTCCCCGAATTCAACAACTTAAATCCGATCTCGCGGCTTGTAAACAGAAAGGCATAAGTATTGAAGCCTACTACGGTAAGATTTCCAAACTTTGGGAGGAATTGGCAGATTATGATAAACCTCCCATGTGTAGTTGTGGTCTCTGTAAGTGCAATTTACCTGTTCAGTGGAATTGTAAACAAGAAACAGAGAGAGTCCACCAATTTCTCAAAGGCTTGGATCCTACACTCTACGGTCCCACTCGTTCAAATCTGTTGGCCCAAGATCCTCTCCCGACGTTGAATCGGATTTATTCGACTTGCATCCAGGAAGAAAGAATGTGCACCATCTCGATCGCCGACGACAACCTTGATGCTGCTGTGGGTTTTGCTGTTCGTACAGGCCCAGTTTTGTTCTCTCGCGGGCTTGACGGTGCCGTCGGCGGTGGGTGTGCTGGTGGCGGTCCTCTACATGCGCTGCCGGCGTCTGGTTCTATGCTACCGGTGACGGGTTCTTCAACTGATCAGTCCGGCAGCTCTTCGGGAGGTGGAGGAGGTCGACAGCGTCTGTGCTCTCAATGTGGCAAAAACGGACATCTTGCGGCCAGCTGCTTTGAGGTTATCGGCTTTCCCGACTGGTACCCCCGTGGTGGTGGTGGTGGACGCCGTGGTGGACGGCGCGGACGCGGTGGCCGTAGCGACGGAGCTCCTGTGCAGGCTAACATTGCCGCCGCGGCTGTCCAGGTTGGAGCCAATACAAATACAGGTTTGACTTCTTCCGATCGACTTCTTAGTGGCTTGACTGATGAACAATGGACTCAACTTGTTCAACTCGTCAATTCTGCTAAACAGGACAGTAAGTCGTCTGGTAAGCGGAGTTTATATGACTGGATGTATGACTGTGGTGCCTCTCATCATATGTCTGGTTTTTTGGAATTTTTGTCTGATGTTCGTGACATATCTGCTCGTCCCGTTCAGTTACCAAACGAGTCTTTGACTTCTGCCAGTAAAATAGGCACTGTTTATTTGCAGCTATCTTTCTCAGTAGGGACTACTAATGGACTATCACGAACGAAGTGAGGGATTGGACGACGGACGGGTGTCAATTATTTTACATGATGTTTTATTTGTCCCCAGCTTACAGTGCAGTTTAATATCCTTGTACCAATTGCTGAATACATCCGGTTGTACGGCCCACTTTACTAATAAGTTTTGTGTCATTCAGGATTGCACTTCGAGGATGGTGACTGGAGCGGGTGAGCAGATAGGGGGACTATACTTCTTTCGGGGGACAGTTTCTGGTGCATCTACTTACGTGGTTAAGGTTTCTGCTGATCTCTGGCACCAGTGGTTAGGACATCCGTCGAATCGTGTCTTGTCACATTTGCCTTTAGTTGCTTCTCAGTTTTCTGCTTTGAAAAAGCCATGTGATGTCTGCTTTCGAGCAAAACAAACTAGAGACAGTTTTTCCCTTAGTAATTCTATGGGCACTGGCATTTTCCATCTGATACATTGTGATTTGTGGGGCCCCTATCGGGTTCCGGCTTTCTGTGGATCTAGATATTTTTTGACCATCGTTGATGATTTTTCTCGTGGTGTTTGGATTTATTTACTTGCTGATAAGACAGAGGTATCTTCAGTCGTTATCAATTTTTTGGCCATGGTTAAACGTCAATTCGGCACACTAGTGCGTGTGGTTCGTAGTGACAATGGTACTGAATTTGTGTGTATGGCTAATTATTTTCGTCGTGATGGCATTTTACATGAGACCTCTTGTGTGGGTACACCTCAGCAGAATGGGCGTGTTGAACGCAAGCACCAACACATTCTTAATATTGCTCGTGCTTTGCGCTTTCAGACCCATCTACCACTTTCATTCTGGGGTTATTGTGTTCTTACTGCCGCTCATCTAATTAATCGCACCCCGTCGCGTGTTTTGGATAGCAAAACTCCATATGAGATGCTATATGGGAAGCTCCCTGATTATTCTCGCTTACGTGCTTTTGGGTGTTTGTGCTATGTTTATAATTGCGATCGACATGGGGACAAATTTGCTAGTCGCAGTCGTCGGTGTATATTTGTTGGATATCCACTTGGGCAAAAAAGATGGCGCGTTTATGATTTGGATCGTGAGAGTTTTTTTGTTTCCCGAGATGTTAAGTTTGTTGAGACGGAATTTCCTTACGAGACATCTTCTTCTGCTCCTTCGCCTACTTCGTCCCCTACTGTTGTCACTTGGCCTCCTACTTTAGACGAGGATGATGAGCACATGTTAGTTGTACCTCCTGCTGTTGTGGCTGATCCGCCTGTTGTCTCTGACTCTTCCCACGTCAGGGAGGGCTCTTCCTCTTCGGTTTCGGCTCTGGCTGAGCCTACCGAACTGTTGGGTCGCGGTCACCGTACTCGCCACCCCTCGACTCGCCTTCGTGATTTTATTGCTGCCACTGTCTGTCCCCCTAGTCCCTCTGTTGCCCCGCCTGCCTCGTCATCATCCTCAGGTACCTTTTATCCTATCACTCATTATGTTAATTGTGATTCTTTCTCATCGGGCCGTAAGACATTTCTGGCAGCTCTTGCTTCCGCGATTGAGCCTCGTACCTTTGCTGAGGCAGCTTCTGATAGTCGATGGCGCACGGCTATGCAGAATGAAGTCCAGGCTCTCGAGAACAATGGTACTTGGGAGGTGGTTTCCCTTCCTGCCGGAAAACGTGCTATTGGCTGTAAGTGGATTTACAAGATTAAATATCGATCTGATGGTTATGTTGAGCGCTATAAAGCGCGACTTGTGATTTTAGGTAACAATCAGGTCGAAGGCATTGATTATCATGAGACTTTCGCTCCTGTTGCCAAAATGGTTACGGTGCGGACTTTCTTAGCGGTTGCAGCAGCTCGGCAGTGGGAGGTTCATCAGATGGATGTTCATAATGCCTTTCTTCATGGTGATCTCGCTGAGGAGGTCTACATGAAGGTTTCCCCTGGATTTTGTTCTGGTGATGATGGACGGTTGTGTCATTTGCATCGCTCGTTATATGGTTTGAAGCAGGCACCACATTGCTGGTTTGCGAAACTAGCGACTTCTCTCCTTCAGTATGGTTTTTCTCAGTCGCATTCTGATTACTCTTTGTTTACCTTGCATCGCGGTTCTGTGCAGTTGCAAGTGTTGGTGTACGTTGATGATCTCATTGTCTCTGGTAATGATCCTACGTCCATTGTGGCCTTTAAGAGTTACTTGAGCCGTTGCTTTCACATGAAGGATTTGGGTCTCTTGAAGTATTTTCTGGGCATTGAGGTTGCTCTTAACACTTCAGGCATTTTTCTGTGTCAACGAAAATATACTTTGGACATCATTTCTGAAGTTGGCTTATTGGGTGCCAAGCCTGCGGCATTTTGCACTGGAACAGAATCATCATCTTCTTGATGATACCGGTCCTCTCTTGGCCGACTCGGAGGCTTATCGGCGCTTGATTGGTCGGTTGATTTATTTGGCCGTTACGCGTCCTGAGCTGTCTTATTCTGTCCATGTTCTTGCTCAGTTTATGCATCAGCCTCGGCAAGCACATTGGGAGGTTGCTTTACGTGTTGTGCGTTACTTAAAGGGATCTCTTGGGCAAGGTATTGTGCTTCGTTCTGACTCTGATCTTCAACTCTCTGGATGGTGTGATTCTGACTGGGCGACATGTCCCCTTACTCGTCGTTCCCTCAGTGGCTGGTTTGTTCAATTAGGCCAGTCTCCTATTTCTTGGCGTACAAAAAACAACACATGGTGGCGCGTTCTTCTGCTGAAGCTGAGTATCGGGCTATGGCTACAGTCATTTGTGAGCTTAAATGGTTAAAGGGGTTACTACACAGTCTTGGCGTGTCTCATTCGCAGCCTGTGCGTCTTTATTATGATAGTCAGGCAGCATTACATATTGCTGCAAATCCCGTTTTTCATGAACGGACTAAGCATATTGAGGTGGACTGTCACTTCGTTCGTGATGTACTTGTTCAAGGCCTTGTTTCTGCATCACATGTTTCTACTCATACACAGTTGGCTGATCTTTTTACCAAGGCACTTGGCAAGCGCGAGTTCGACTTCTTCCTTAGCAAGTTGGGCATTCGTAATCCCCATGCTCCAACTTGAGGGGGGGTGTTGATATAGTATTAGTGTTTACCCTTTTGTACCCTTGTTTAGTTAGTTTCTTGTAGAGCAAGTATACATATCCTTGTAACCCTAATTGATTTCATATATATGTGAGCGTCGTATACGAGATCATCAGATTGATATCTCGCTAAATGTCTTTCTCCTTCTTCCTGCTTTGACAGATTTGGAGCCGCGGCCACATCAGTTCTTGTTATTTGGTTTGGATAGCATGAATTGCATAAAGAATGGTTGGATGATTTTATGATATTGGGATTGATGATTATTATAGTATTTGGCAATGCGTGTATTAGTGTAGATGTCACATTATCTTACGTACAAATGAAAATACTTACTTTTAATACTTGTACGTCCTTTGTTTTTTTTTTTAAACGATGATTATATTAATAACAAACTCAAAACAGTACAATCGAAGTGTCAAATAACACACTGGAACCAGAAAATTGGACCAGCAACTCTTGTCATCACACACAAGGGGTACAAACTCCAACAAGAAGGTGAAAAACCACAAAACAAAACTCCAAAATAGAGACACTAACTCAATATAGAAGAGAAAACAGACACAGCTGCACTAAAAGCAGACAATTGCACTTAACCAACAAAAAACACAAGAAAAAAACAACTCACGCTTAATTAATAAAATAAAGCCCTCCTCGGCCGCCGTCAAAATACACATACACTACAACCTCACAAGCCAACAAGTCGAAGAAATCTACATAGAAGAGCCCGTCCTCAGTCTAGAATACCAGTCCAAAAACTCCGCACTCCAAATCGGCTACAATTATCCAAATCTGAGATCCTCAACCTCGAAAAGGCATTCAATGCAAAGAGACCACTTCAATCAATGCCGAGCCACAAAACACGTCCCCCGCCCCACACACACATCAAAGACCAACCGCAACCTGCCGTGAAGACCAGCCCTTGAGAAATAAGGCACGAACAGAGTGGGGACGTCAGCAACACAAAAGCTGCCGGAGCTCGACTTTCACCCTTCAACGACGTCTAAGGCACGTGGAGCACGAACAAGGAGAGGGGGCGAGTTGCCGCCGATTTCAGGGTTTAGAGTTAAGGGGCCAAATATGGACTTCAGTGATAGTTGAAGGGCCACCAGCGGACTTTTTACTTAATTAAAAAATAAACATAGCCTGCCATATTAGTCCCTGCTCCACATGCCAGCCTATCATCCAGTGATAGGACTGTCTATTAAAAGTTTGGAACATTATTCATCAGATTTCAAATACGTGTTTAGTGGTATAAACGAGGTTTTCATCGTCCACGAGTCGCCGATGGTGACTTCGGGAATCTTCAGATCTGTCGGCTCAGTCATTCGGAGGTGCTCATAAGGGTATGATTTGCTTATGTGTATTCACAGAAGTATGTGTGCGCGTATTATAGGTGTATGTCGGGGATCATATAAAGAAAATGCGCTTTATGACAAAGCGTGGAATAAGGAGAGAAGCTCATCCAATCAACAAATTTGGACGAATCCCCTCCAGGGATGCACTCTAAGCCCAACTAGTGACTCACCGAGGTCTCCTATGCCATTGCGTGTCCATGAGGATCTGAGGCCCCCGCGTGGGCGGAACGGGCGGTGACCAACCCTAGCCGCCGCCGCCGCTACCCCATCCCTCCCTCCCTCTTGCTGCTGCCAGAGGGAGTCACCGGAAGGCCCGCGCCACTCCCCAGAACGGCAACGGCGGGGCACTCACGCCGCCGGCCATGGCACTCTGTGCGGGGCGGCGCTCCATGGCCGGCCTCCTCCCACTTCTTCCTCCGGCGACTGGTGGTGGCCTCGGCTTGTCTTTGCCCGGATCTGGTCCTCCCTTGGCTAGATCCCGCCCCCCGCCATCGGGATCCGACCAGGAATCTGCCCATCGGGGACCGTCCGTCAGGGATTCGGCCGGGGCTCCGTCCCTCTGGTCATGCGCGCGCCTCCCGCCGCCCCCCCTCCGATACCTACCCTCTGTTGGGGTAGCGTCTGGTGGCTGGGACGGTGGGTCCGCCAATCGCAGGCAGGCTGCGTCGCTGGCATTGGGGATGGCTGTGATCTAGTGCCTGTGTCGGCGGCTTCGGCCCTCCGTCGTTGTCGCTGTTGCGGGTGCCGCGAGTGGCCTGTCCTGTGGTACAGTTTCTTGGTGAAAACCTTCCCCGGTTCATTCGGGACGGCGATGGTGGCACATCTGTGACATCCCCTGGTTGAGGTATCGTCAAAGATCCTGTTCATCAGGGCAGACTGGGGTCGAAAGACCTACTCATGTGTTTTTGTCGGCGTTTTGTCATCTACGGATATCAAGGTCCTTCCTGAAGGCATCGTTGGAACACTGTTGCAGTCTATCTCCCGTTGCTCTTGCCATCTCCAGAGTGGCTTCGCTCGGCGTGCGGTTGGCCGCGGGCGTTGGAGGTCCCGCCTTACCGTGACAACTGAGTGTGGGCTCGCCGATCTCATCTCCTTGGTCAGGTTGTTCTGTGGACTGCGTCTGGTTACACAGTGGCCAGCATTTTGGACATGTCGGCGTCCGATACGTACAACATCGGATCCCTTCAGTTTGAGTACAGTTCAACGCCAGCACTTGTGGTTACATATCTGGTCACCTAGGCTTGGTTAGAGATGTGTGCCAAATGTCCAAGCTGGCAATTGGTGCGAGTGATGAGGATTATATCTTTTTGGCGGTTAAGGTACGCGGATCACCGATATTGGTTCTATGCGTTTGGCTACAGATGTGTTATGACAATGGGTTGAACTTGACCTAGAGGTGGTAGAGGCATTGGAAGGACACTCAAGTTGTAGGCTTTTATGTTTTCCTTTTCTCTTTTTTGCTCTTTCTTTCCTAGGCTTTATGCTGAACTGAAAGAGGCTTCTCGCTGTAATAAAGTTCTTGTTGGCTATATGTATCGATCGATACAGAGGCCGGAATATTAATATATTCCCGATTCTAAAAAAAAGGTTCGGCTGCATCCTTTGTCGACACGGCTTGGGGCCGCGACGCGTCGGTAATGCACGTGCGTTCTCCGACGCCCGCACGCACATCCCCCAGCCTTCCCACGTCACTGTCTCCTGGGCCAGGCCCACGAGCGCACGGTGGTGCGTCCGATAGAACCGGCGGACTGCTCATTTCCGTTAGTTTTTTTTTCTTTTCTCTTCCTTTCTTTCCTTTTCTTTTTTCCTTTCTTTTCTTTATTATTCATTTTCTTTTTTTCTTTCTTTTTTTTTATATGTATTCATTCTTCATTGTTTTTCGTTTTCCTTTCTTTGTTTTTCTTTTTTTCTTTCTTCTATTTATTTTCTTTCTTGACTTTTTTCTTTCTTTTCATACACTAAATGAAACTATTTTTTCTCTATTTACTTAATTAGTGAAATATTATACTACGTCTACGAATAGTCTTTTTGTTCGCATGTTCATTTCAGTTGTTCAGGGCCATGATATTATCTGTTCATGATTTTTTTCCTATAATTCCGTTAATTTGCTTCAATATATTTGTTAAAAAAATTCAGATTGAGTATCAACAATTAATGTTCTAATTTGAATTTCTTTTATATGAACTTGTTTATATATGTAGTCATGAATACATATAATTCTTTTAGCTCAATTAATTCATATTATTAATTGAAATTATTTCTACTCTATTTGCTTAATTGATGAAAAAAATCCGCCATGAGTAGACTTTTATTCGCATATTTATTTCAATTATTCAGGGGCATAATATAATTTGTTCATTATTTTTTCAAAATGAGTTGTCCAAATTAAATTCAGATTGCACTGTTATGTCTTTTACACTGAGGTTTTTGAAATAAGACTTCACATGACTATATTTGGATGAGAAATATTTAGAACAAATTTTTGAAAGTGCTTGAACAATTTTTTCTTGAACCTCGAACAATGTTCCAGCTTCAGAAATAAGTTGTTCGAGCTTTAGAAAAATTTGTTTCAACTTCAGAACAAAATCTTACAGCTTCAGAAATAAGTTGTTCCAGCTTCAGAAAAATTTGTTTCAACTTCAGAACAAAATCTTACAGTGAGATCTTCGAAATAAGACGACACTTGACTATATTTGGATGCAATATATTTAGAGCAACATTTTAAAAGTGTCGTAATAATTTTTTCGTAGTTCCAGTTTCACCAAAAAAATGTTTTAGCTTCGGAACAAAATCTTACAGTGAGATCTTCGAAATAAGACTACGCGTACTATATTTGGATAAAATATTTTTAGAACATTTTTCTTAACCTAGAACAATGTTCCTGCTTCATAAAAAATTTGTTCCAGTTTGAGAAAAATATGTTCCATATAGAAATTTATCTAAATATATCCAAGTGTGGTCTTGTTTTGAAGATCTCGTCATGAGGATCACAGTGGTGCAATCAGAATTTTACTTAGCCATCTAATTTAGCAACTACAGTGTTTTTTCTCTCAGATTAAAATGTTTCTCGATTTTGGAGACGCGGGTCCCACCTGTAACTGCCGCGCTGGAGTACGTCAGGCGCGCGCACACAGAGCCGCACATGTTTTTTATCGGGAAGTCACGCGGAAGGGGAGGGTGTGCGTGCGGCCCTTCGCCACACGCCTATGCACCACCGACGCGGCTCCGCTTGGGGCCATCTCGATTGGCGGTTTGGCATTGATGCTTGGAGGGCAATGCCGTAGGGGATTCGGGGAATACATCCACCCCTACATCCCCTGGAGGATTTGGGGATTGGATGCTTGAAATAGTTGGTTGGATTTAGAAGTTTAATAGAATCCAAACTTTTATCATAACCCTTTCCCCTTGTGTTTCTATGATGTAAGGAGTTTGGAGTCATGTTCTAGGAGAGTTAGACTTGTATGATCGGTGCATTCCCTATAAGCTGGTAATAATAATATCCAATATGGTTGGTTAAACAATCCAGAGCTTATTTCCCCCGGCTTATAATACCAATTAACCACCAATAAACCACAGCAGCTAATAATAATCTAGATGTTCAACAAACAGAATAATAAGAAATCTGAACAGTACAACTTTTCATATATACTTTCAATCGATTTAAATCATGGCCCGTCAATTTCTTAGTTTCTGCTAACGTGACTAATGGTAAACAAAAAGGGCATACGAAATCTGAACAGGACAGATTTTACAGACTTTCAGCGATCAGGAATTCATGCACAAGGAGAATTTATACCAGGGTCAGGACAGTTCACCGGTCCCAGTGATCACAGTTCGCCCGTCACATACATACACTGAATATATATGCGGATGATCACACTCCATATCTCGTACTAACAATGCTAAATAACATGTCTAACCACGTCGGAAACCACGGCCACGGCCACGGCCACGGGGTCCAAAACCACGAGCACGGCCACGGTGTCCAAAATCCTGGGCACGACCAAGTTGTCCGAAAATACGGCAGCGGACACGGCGGCAGAGGAGGTTCCAGCCAAAAACACGGTGGCGGATGCTCCAGGTTCCACGACCAAGGACTTCTCGTCGGGTGTAATCCTCCAGCACCTCTTCCAACCTGCAATCCAGACTTTATATATTATTATTAAAAAATAAATTTATTGGAAGTTGCTCAAACATGCTGACTGTAGCTAGTGCTGCAGCTGCAGCAGCCAGCATCAGCTAGGGCTTGTCTGGTTGATGCCTTGAGAACTGCCTGTACAGGCAGTATCAAGCAAGCACAATCAGATGCCAGATGATGCTGCCTGGCGCATGCAGTTTTCTCAAGATTCAAACTAAACACGCCCGCAAAGCAATTGAGCTGTCAAAAAATATTGAAGAATATGGGGCTGGAGCTGTTCAGACCAGCGGACAAGTGACTGGGCCAAGCAGATGCAGCAAGCAGAAGTGAAGAGGCTAACTAATCCTAACTTAGACTAAACTAAAAGCTAAGACAGTGCCATAAAAATTTATTGGCCCTTACCATTCCCATAAATCTGCTGTCATAGATGATTAGAGCATAGCAATTTTTCCAAGACATCTGGAAGACTGTCTTCGAGGTAATGGAGGGTCAGAAGGTCCAACTCTGAAAGTTTGTGAAAATTTTCTTTCTCCTCTGGTTGCAATTCCAATCCTGGATCCACCTTCACAGCAGTAATTCTGGTATAAAAATCAGTGAAACAAACAGAAAACAGGAAATAAATTATTCACCGTAGACTTTCCATGTTCATTTACTTGTCTTGGAAAAACAGACAAGCTGCCAACATCAGGTTCATAAAGCCCAAACTTCCTATCCGGATCTTCACCCTCCATAGCCTTTTTGTTGTTTTGGTCTGAATCACCAGGAATGTACCGTAAAACCTTTTTGAGGACTGGATGTCCTCTTTCAGCAATTGAATCTCTCCAATCAGATGTAATCTGAGGTGGATATGTACTCGATAATACACCTCTCAAAGCACGTCTCACTTCTTCTGGGGCAAAGCACCGTATCTTATGAATTCCTGTAAATAATCCAGCTCTAGCCGAATAGGACCTCAGTGCCATGGTATTCAATACACAATCCCAGAAGCCATTAAGACGATGTCGGAAGCCCTCCAGTTGATGTTGGCTACACACTGAAGGTCTGCTGGGAGGGTTTGACAAGTTATCGATCAACCGGTTGAAGAATGCTGGGAGACCAAACCCTTCTATTCTAAATAGCTCAACAATCGTACAAATGTAACTGAAGAAATCATTCAGTGTTGCCTCTTCACAGAACTTGTCACAATAAGTAGCGCGGATTTTGCATGAGCTCCATCAATGACAACTATAGTATTCAAGTCAAACTTCCCACTCCAACTATAGTTGTTGATGGAGCTCATGCAGAATCCGCGCTGTTTATTGTGACAAGTTCTGTGAAGAGGCAACACTGAATGATTTCTTCAGTTACATTTGTACGATTGTTGAGCTATTTAGAATAGAAGGGTTTGGTCTCCCAGCATTCTTCAACCGGTTGATCGATAACTTGTCAAACCCTCCCAGCAGACCTTCAGTGTGTAGCCAACATCAACTGGAGGGCTTCCGACATCGTCTTAATGGCTTCTGGGATTGTGTATTGAATACCATGGCACTGAGGTCCTCTTCGGCTAGAGCTGAATTATTTACAGGAATTCATAAGATACGGCGCTTCGCCCCAGAGGAAGTGAGACGTGCTTTGAGAGGTGTATTATCGAGTACATATCCACCTCAGATTACATCTGATTGGAGAGATTCAATTGCTGAAAGCGGACATCCAGTCCTCAAAAAGGTTTTACGGTACATTCCTGGTGATTCAGACCAAAACAACAAAAAGGCTATGAAGGGTGAAGATCCGGATAGGAAGTTTGGGCTTTATGAACCTGATGTTGGCAGCTTGTCTGTTTTTCCAAGACAAGTAAATGAACATGGAAAGTCTAAGGTGAATATTTTATTTCCTGTTTTCTGTTTGTTTCACTGATTTTTATACCAGAATTACTGCTGTGAAGGTGGATCCAGGATTGGAATTGCAACCAGAGGAGAAAGAAAATTTTCACAAACTTTCAGAGTTGGACCTTCTGACCCTCCATTACCTCGAAGACAGTCTTCCAGATGTCTTGGAAAAATTGCTATGCTCTAATCATCTATGACAGCAGATTTATGGGAATGGTAAGGGCCAATAAATTTTTATGGCACTGTCTTAGCTTTTAGTTTAGTCTAAGTTAGGATTAGTTAGCCTCTTCACTTCTGCTTGCTGCATCTGCTTGGCCCAGTCACTTGTCCGCTGGTCTGAACAGCTCCAGCCCCATATTCTTCAATATTTTTTGACAGCTCAATTGCTTTGCGGGCGTGTTTAGTTTGAATCTTGAGAAAACTGCATGCGCCAGGCAGCATCATCTGGCATCTGATTGTGCTTGCTTGATACTGCCTGTACAGGCAGTTCTCAAGGCATCAACCAGACAAGCCCTAGCTGATGCTGGCTGCTGCAGCTGCAGCACTAGCTACAGTCAGCATGTTTGAGCAACTTCCAATAAATTTATTTTTTAATAATAATATATAAAGTCTGGATTGCAGGTTGGAAGAGGTGCTGGAGGATTACACCCGACGAGAAGTCCTTGGTCGTGGAACCTGGAGCATCCGCCACCGTGTTTTTGGCTGGAACCTCCTCTGCCGCCGTGTCCGCTGCCGTATTTTCGGACAACCTGGTCGTGGTCGTCCGAAAAAATCAATAGGCCTCATTTTCAAGTTGCCACGGTTGCCCTGAGAGAAACACAGGTTTGAGAGGCAGCATTTTCCAACAAAACATGAAATCATTCCAGCAATTTTGCACTTACAGATATAATTGCTTTCTCCTGTATATTCTCATCTTTCTCCTCGACCTCCCCATCATCTTTCTCCTTGGCCTTATCATCATCTTTCTCCTCAGTCTTCTCATCGTCTTTCTCCTCATTCTTCTCGTCGTCTCTGTCTTTGTTCTTATCCTCCTTTCCGTCTTCGTTCCTATCCTCCTCTTTCTCCTTGGGTACTAAGGGCCCCTTAAGACCCATCTTCGCTTTTTTCCTTTTCTTCTTTCTTTCATTTTTCGTTAGTGGCTAAATCAAATGCATGATTTCATTGAGTTAGCAAAACATACCTAAAAATCAAATAGAGCAAGAACTTGTAATAACACTTCAACATTCTGATCTTACCAGTATTGATTGAATCATTGAATTTGTAGGGCTAAAGTTACAATCAACAAAATATCCAACCTCTCTTTAAGGTCATTTTTTAATGAAGAGAATCTGCAACCAGAGACATAAATAAATCGAGTTTTAAAAGCAACAAAAAAAAAGTAACACTTGAACATATATATAAACTTCCATTTACCCATAAGGGGTTAGCTGAGGGCCCCTCAAAAAGGTTGAGATCCTTGCACCTAAAATTAGAGAACAAAGAAAAGATGTAACAGAATAATCACTTGCAAATATAGTTTTGCTCCAGAAAAATTAAACACTTATGTTGTAGAAATTTACAACTGGTAAGTTCTTCTGGTTCGGTTGAAGAGAATGCAAGCGCAGAATAGAACATGTCGTCTTCACACCCAACATCATGCTTTTGAGGCCCGGATAGAAGTGATTCATAAACAGCAAGAGCTACCGAAAGTCTGATGTAGGAGCTTATGTGTATGGAGGAGCCCAACTCAACATCCTAATGAAATATCAAAGTATCCGCCTTTACCCCAATAAAGATCTCAAATCTTACAGAAATGCTGATGCATTGAAGGAAATAATATTTAAAAAAGCCCATGTACAATGGGTACCTGGCGATCAACCGTCCAGCCATGGTGTAGAGGGACACCGAGAAAACCAAAAAGTGCGGTTTCTAAGGTCTGCTCAAAACCACAAGAGCTGAAAAATGGACATCATAAACATTAGACTCTGAGAAGGACAATCACACATACTCAGACAATTAAATCAGTATCAGTCACCTAGCGAATTTCACATCAAAGTATAAACTGCCCGGAAGCTTCGGCAATACACCAAGAACTTGTTTATTGAACTCTGATAGTTCCAAGTTCTGTTCCAACTGCAGTATAAGTGGACAGTAGCATAACTTTGAATGAACATTCATTTGCAAAACAATTGCATCTATACAGTTGCATACCTGCATTTGTGTATTCCCATACAAAAGATAACTCTGGACAAGATAGATGAGGTGGCCCTCAGACACCTTATTGATATCTACATTGAGAGTTATCTTCTCTCCAAGAAGGAGAACGTTACCTGCAGTGGCCAAGAAAACAAGTAGTGAATGGACTCTGGACTAGGCATTTCTAATAAGTTCAGTGACGAGGGAAAATACACTACAAATGATATTTAATGTCGAATTAATTTATAAACTTGTTGGATTGTACACCAAAAGGTAAAAGTAAGTAAACAACATGAATTCCGGGTAACCAGCCAAGCCACTAAAGTAGAAATACAGAGAGAAAAAAACTAAAAATTCAGCTACATTGACTTACATAGTGCTACTAGAGAGCAGTGTGTATTCTTATTCTTGAGGACAATGAGTGTGCGCCGACCAAGAAATTCAATGCATCTTGTTGCATACCACACAACAGAAGTGGCATCTTTCTTCTTTTTTTTCTTCTCTACCATGTCAAATGGCAAATTCTGATCCTGCAACTGGGGAGGAGGGTGCAGAGTTGGCAAAAACATTATTCAAATGAAAAAATGTATCCACAATATTCACGAGGCACAACTTGAAAAGAATAGTACCTCCGCTATAGTGTTTAGGTAAATCACCACTTCATCTTCTTCTATTTGATCTTTTTTTCTGTACCCTTCACGCTCAGGACATAAATCAGAATCGAGCAGACTTGTAAAAACAACACTGTTCAAGGAAGATAATAAATTCATTAGAGTTCAAACTCACAGGTAGCAATCGTAGATAACATGTATTCTTTTTATATACCCACTCAGAACAAAAGTTGCATGACAGGTTAGCAAGAAATAACAAGAACAGGAAGTTGGAACATAAAAAACACAATGCCAATGTTAACAGAAGCAAAAACAGGTGGATCAAGTAAAAAAAACTACATCTTGTCATCCAGAGATCTACGGTGAACACTATTTTATACCCATTTGACTAAACCCAGTCACAGAATCCAATATTTTACAGGTTTCATCTTCAATGTTATTTTCTCTTGCAGTAAAGAAGCGCACAGCAAAAGGCAGAAGTGGTAAATGTGCACTATGAGATGACCGCATGCAGCAACTCCAAGCATAAGTAGTCTAACATAAATTCTTGGCAAGATAATTCTGGAGAAAAGACAAACCAGAAACTCAATACAGCAGGGTGTAAAATAACAGATATGCAATACCAAGCATATGTAGTCTCAAGCCGTTCTTGGCAAGATACTTCTGGAGGAAAGACAAAGCGGAAACTCAATACAGCAAGGAGCAAAAAATACAAAATTTGTTGACGACGACTCCCAAATCATGCAGACTTGCAGGTGACCTAACTGAATGCTCTGAGAGTTGCTACGATACATCAAATAAGCCATACTGTCATACCACATAAGAGCAACTCCAACAGGGCCCCTAGCCCCGTACTCAGAGCCCCTAGCTAAATATGGGTGCCCAGGCCAAAAACGCAGCTCCAGCAGGGCCCCGAAATCTATGCCATTGCGTGTCCATGAGGATCTGAGGCCCCCGCGTGGGCGGAACGGGCGGTGACCAACCCTAGCCGCCGCCGCCGCTACCCCATCCCTCCCTCCCTCTTGCTGCTGCCAGAGGGAGTCACTGGAAGGCCCGCGCCACTCCCCAGAACGGCAACGGCGAGGCACTCACGCCGCCGGCCATGGCACTCTGTGCGGGGCGGCGCTCCATGGCCGGCCTCCTCCCACTTCTCCCTCCGGCGACTGGTGGTGGCCTCGGCTTGTCTTTGCCCGGATCTGGTCCTCCCTTGGCTAGATCCCGCCCCCCGCCATCGGGATCCGACCGGGAATCTGCCCATCAGGGACCGTCCGTCAAGGATTCGGCCGGGGCTCCGTCCCTCTGGTCATGCGCGCGCCTCCCGCCGCCCCCCCTCCGATACCTACCCTCTGTTGGGGTAGCGTCTGGTGGCTAGGACGGTGGGTCCGCCAATCGCAGGCAGGCTGCGTCGCTGGCATTGGGGATGGGTGTGATCTAGTGCCTGTGTCGGCGGCTTCGGCCCTCCGTCGTTGTTGCTGCTGCGGGTGCCGCGAGTGGTTTGTCCTGTGGTACAGTTTCTTGGTGAAAACCTTCCCCGGTTTATTCGGGACGGCGATGGTGGCACATCTGTGACATCCCCTGGTTGAGGTATCGTCAAAGATCCTGTTCATCAGGGCAGACTGGGTCGAAAGACCTACTCATGTGTTTTTGCCGGCGTTTTGTCATCTACGGATATCAAGGTCCTTCCTGAAGGCATCGTTGGAACACTGTTGCAGTCTATCTCCCGTTGCTCTTGCCATCTCCAGAGTGGCTTCGCTCGGCGTGCGGTTGGCCGCGGGCGTTGGAGGTCCCGCCTTACCGTGACAACTGAGTGTGGGCTCGCCGATCTCATCTCCTTGGTCAGGTTGTTCTGTGGACTGTGTCTGGTTACACAGTGGCCAGCATTTTGGACATGTCGGCGTCCGATACGTACAACATCGGATCCCTTCAGTTTGAGTACAGTTCAACGCCAGCACTTGTGGTTATATATCTGGTCACCTAGGCTTGGTTAGAGATGTGTGCCAAATGTCCAAGCTGGCAATTGGTGCGAGGGATGAGGATTATATCTTTTTGGTGGTTAAGGTACGCGGATCACCGATATTGGTTCTATGCGTTTGGCTACAGATGTGTTATGACAATGGGTTGAACTTGACCTAGAGGTGGTAGAGGCATTGGAAGGACACTCAAGTTGTAGGCTTTTATGTTTTCCTTTTCTCTTTTTTGCTCTTTCTTTCCTAGGCTTTATGCTGAACTGAAAGAGGCTTCTCGCTGTAATAAAGTTCTTGTTGGCTATATGTATCGATCGATACAGAGGCCGGAATATTAATATATTCCCGATTCTAAAAAAAAGGTTCGGCTGCACCCTTTGTCGGCACGGCTTGGGGTCGCGACGCGTCGGTAATGCACGTGCGTTCTCCGACGCCCGCACGCACATCCCCCAGCCTTCCCACGTCACTGTCTTCTGGGCCAGGCCCACGAGCGCACGGTGGTGCGTCCGATAAAACCGGCGGACTGCTCATTTCCGTTAGTTTTTTTTTTCTTTTCTCTTCCTTTCTTTCCTTTTCTTTTTTCCTTTCTTTTCTTTATTATTCATTTTCTTTTTTTCTTTCTTTTTTTTTATATGTATTCATTCTTCATTGTTTTTCGTTTTCCTTTCTTTGTTTTTCTTTTTTTCTTTCTTCTATTTATTTTCTTTCTTGACTTTTTTCTTTCTTTTCATACACTAAATGAAACTATTTTTTCTCTATTTACTTAATTAGTGAAATATTATACTACGTCTACGAATAGTCTTTTTGTTCGCATGTTCATTTCAGTTGTTCAGGGCCATGATATTATCTGTTCATGATTTTTTTCCTATAATTCCGTTAATTTGCTTCAATATATTTGTTAAAAAAATTCAGATTGAGTATTAACAATTAATGTTCTAATTTGAATTTCTTTTATATGAACTTGTTTATATATGTAGTCATGAATACATATAATTCTTTTAGCTCAATTAATTCATATTATTAATTGAAATTATTTCTACTCTATTTGCTTAATTGATGAAAAAAATCCGCTATGAGTAGACTTTTATTCGCATATTTATTTCAATTATTCAGGGGCATAATATAATTTGTTCATTATTTTTTTAAAATGAGTTGTCCAAATTAAATTCAGATTGCACTGTTATGTCTTTTACACTGAGGTTTTTGAAATAAGACTTCAGATGACTATATTTGGATGAGAAATATTTAGAACAAATTTTTGAAAGTGCTTGAACAATTTTTTCTTGAACCTCGAACAATGTTCCAGCTTCAGAAAAATTTGTTTCAACTTCAGAACAAAATCTTACAGCTTCAGAAATAAGTTGTTCCAGCTTCAGAAAAATTTGTTTCAACTTCAGAACAAAATCTTACAGTGAGATCTTCGAAATAAGACGACACTTGACTATATTTGGATGCAATATATTTAGAGCAACATTTTAAAAGTGTCGTAATAATTTTTTCGTAGTTCCAGTTTCACCAAAAAAATGTTTTAGCTTCGGAACAAAATCTTACAGTGAGATCTTCGAAATAAGACTACACGTACTATATTTGGATAAAATATTTTTAGAACATTTTTCTTAACCTAGAACAATGTTCCTGCTTCATAAAAAATTTGTTCCAGTTTGAGAAAAATATGTTCCATATAGAAATTTATCTAAATATATCCAAGTGTGGTCTTGTTTTGAAGATCTCGTCATGAGGATCACAGTGGTGCAATCAGAATTTTACTTAGCCATCTAATTTAGCAACTACAGTGTTTTTTCTCTCAGATTAAAATATTTCTCGATTTTGGAGACGCGGGTCCACCTGTAACTGCCGCGCTGGAGTACGTCAGGCGCGCGCACACAGAGCCGCTCATGTTTTTTATCGGGAAGTCACGCGGTAGGGGAGGGTGTGCGTGCGGCCCTTCGCCACACGCCTATGCACCACCGACGCGGCTCCGCTTGGGGCCATCTCGATTGGCGGTTTGGCATTGATGCTTGGAGGGCGGTGCCGTAGGGGATTCGGGGAATACATCCACCCCTACATCCCCTGGAGGATTTGGGGATTGGATGCTTGAAATAGTTGGTTGGATTTAGAAGTTTAATAGGATCCAAACTTTTATCATAACCCTTTCCCCTTGTGTTTCTATGATGTAAGGAGTTTGGAGTCATGTTCTAGGAGAGTTAGACTTGTATGATCGGTGCATTCCCTATAAGCTGGTAATAATAATATCCAATACAGTTGGTTAAACAATCCAGAGCTTATTTCCCCCGGCTTATAATACCAATAAACCACAACAGCTAATAATAATCTAGATGTTCAACAAACAGAATAATAAGAAATCTGAACACTACAACTTTTCATATATACTTTCAATCGATTTAAATCATGGCCCGTCAATTTCTTAGTTTCTGCTAACGTGACTAATGGTGAACAAAAAGGGCATACGAAATCTGAACAGGACAGATTTTACAGACTTTCAGCGATCGGGAATTCATGCACGAGGAGAATTTATACTAGGGTCAGGATAGTTCACCGGTCCCAGTGATCACAGTTCGCCCGTCACATACATACACTGAATATATGAATATATATGCGGATGATCACACTCCATATCTCGTACTAACAATGCTAAATAACATGTCTAACCACGTCGGAAACCACGGCCACGGCCACGGGGTCCAAAACCACGAGCACGGCCACGGTATCCAAAATCCTGGACACGACCACGACCAGGTTGTCCGAAAATACGGCAGCGGACACGGCGGCAGAGGAGGTTCCAGCCAAAAACACGGTGGCGGATGCTCCAGGTTCCACGACCAAGGACTTCTCGTCGGATGTAATCCTCCAGCACCTCTTCCAACCTGCAATCCAGACTTTATATATTATTATTAACAAATAAATTATTGGAAGTTGCTCAAACATGCTGACTGTAGCTAGTGCTGCAGCTGCAGCAGCCAGCATCAGTTAGGGCTTGTCTGGTTGATGCCTTGAGAACTGCCTGTACAGGCAGTATCAAGCAAGCACAATCAGATGCCAGATGATGCTGCCTGGCGCAGGCAGTTTTCTCAGGATTCAAACTAAACACGCCCGCAAAGCAATTGAGCTGTCAAAAAATATTGAAGAATATGGGGCTGGAGCTGTTCAGACCAGCGGACGAGTGACTGAGCCAAGCAGATGCAGCAAGCAGAAGTGAAGAGGCTAACTAATCCTAACTTAGACTAAACTAAAAGCTAAGACAGTGCCATAAAAATTTATTGGCCCTTACCATTCCCATAAATCTGCTGTCATAAGATGATTAGAGCATAGCAATTTTTCCAAGACATCTGGAAGACTGTCTTCGAGGTAATGGGAGGTCAGAAAGTCCAACTCTGAAAGTTTGTGAAAATTTTCTTTCTCCTCTGGTTGCAATTCCAATCCTGGATCCACCTTCACAGCAGTAATTCTGGTATAAAAATCAGTGAAACAAACAGAAAACAGGAAATAAAATATTCACCTTAGACTTTCCATGTTCATTTACTTGTCTTGGAAAAACAGACAAGCTGCCAACATCAGGTTCATAAAGCCCAAACTTCCTATCCGGATCTTCACCCTCCATAGCCTTTTTGTTGTTTTGATCTGAATCACCAGGAATGTACCGTAAAACCTTTTTGAGGACTGGATGTCCTCTTTCAGCAATTGAATCTCTCCAATCAGATGTAATCTGAGGTGGATATGTACTCGATAATACACCTCTCAAAGCACGTCTCACTTCCTCTGGGGCGAAGCGCCGTATCTTATGAATTCCTGTAAATAATCCAGCTCTAGCCGAAGAGGACCTCAGTGCCATGGTATTCAATACACAATCCCAGAAGCCATTAAGACGATGTCGGAAGCCCTCCAGTTGATGTTGGCTACACACTGAAGGTCTGGGAGGGTTTGACAAGTTATCGATCAACCGGTTGAAGAATGTTGGGAGACCAAACCCTTCTATTCTAAATAGCTCAACAATCGTACAAATGTAACTGAAGAAATCATTCAGTGTTAGAACTTGTCACAATAAGTAGCGCGGATTTCTGCATGAGCTCCATCAATGACAACTATGTCAAACTTCTCACTCCAACTATAGTTGTTGATGGAGCTCATGCAGAAATCCGCGCTACTTATTGTGACAAGTTCTGTGAAGAGGCAACACTGAATGATATTCAGTTACATTTGTACGATTGTTGAGCTATTTAGAATAGAATGGTTTGATCTCCCAGCATTCTTCAACCGGTTGATCGATAACTTGTCAAACCCTCCCAGCAGACCTTCAGTGTGTAGCCAACATCAACTGGAGGGCTTCCGACACGTCTTAATGGCTTCTGGGATTGTGTATTGAATACCATGGCACTGAGGTCCTCTTCGGCTAGAGCTGGATTATTTACAGGAATTCATAAGATACGGCGCTTCGCCCCAGAGGAATCCAAGGAAGTACCATCAGCAAATAAGGTTCTTAATGCAGAGAACCTATTACCAGGAATCTTAACAAACTCCTTGAGTGAACCCTGAAGAAAGAGCACACAGTACAGTTTAATCCTCAGTATAATATAACAATGAACAAGACAAAATGCAAGGTACCATCAATTGTAATATAATAATGAACAAGAACAAAGGCAACACGACTTGCAAGGGAGCAAAATTTCATGTATATGAGGAGTAAATTGCATTTGGATGTGTACAGTATACATATATCACAGATAGAAATGGAAATGGAAATGGAAATGGAAAAGATTACACGATGACAACAAAGCATAGCAGGTACAGATATATTTGATTTTGCAAACATAGTAAACGATTTATTTTTTGGTCCACGTTATACATACCAAAGGAGCTGCATCAAGCCCCGTATAAATTGGTGTGAAGTTGCTGTCCAAATATACTCCGCCACCATTGACCTAACAAGCCACAACTAAGAATGGGCACAAGTTCCATCTCAATCACACAAAAAAATTATGAAAAATACAGAATAGCATACCTCAAGCGTCTGCCAAAATGCATTAGTTCTTAAATAATTTGAATTGGTGACTAAAGAATGTACAACTCCATTGACCTGCATAAGATCAAAACGGGTCAAAAAGGGAAAATAGAAGGCAGCTAAGCATAGCCCCTAACTGTAATAAAATACAGCAAATGTTGAGTCTCACCTTAACTATAGTATTGTAATGATAGTGCCAGTACATAATGCATGGAACGTTTTCAACAAGGTCTTCATGTAGGGAAACCAAGCTGTAGCATTCGCACACGGTTATTTAAAATGTTAACAAGTGGCAAACAACAAAAAGTTTCCAACCAGAACAGACTGCACATAGAAAAAGGACAATTAGATAATTTACCCGGTGGGAGTAAGTTGATTTCCCCTTAGAAACTTCTGGATCGTCTCCGCTAAAAACATTGAACAAAAGCAATAGCAGCAATGAAAAAGTTTGGTCAAACAATGTGTAGCTGAAAAATAAAACTAACCATGAGGAAAATCAGGTTCACAAGCCGCCAGACTAAGAGTTTCCAATGATACTTCGGGTCCAGGCAACAAATCCTAATAATTAGTATCATGATATTAGCTGGCCACGTCATATAAAATGATTGCGCACTGAATTAGAAAATTTGCACTAACAACATAATCAATGCCCATGATAAACTTGCTTACCCTAGTAGCAACCCAACCATGTCGAACATTGAGATCCAAGCAATCAAGAAGTAACCACTCTGGTGTCTTCGTAAAACCATCCGTCCTGCAGTGTGAAAATTGCAAATATCAGAACACAGCAGCCAGCCTAAACAACAAAGGAAAGAGACAGAACCAATATGGAAAGCTAGAACTACAATCACCTTGTGAAGATAATGTCCACATCAAACCCTTTGGCCAGTGTCGGTGCCACATCCCATATCATTCTTTGTATTTCAGGACAATGAGCCTATTGAAAAAATATATATATGTATATCCACAACCTTAGGCTGAAGGCCATGAATGCAACCAAAATCGAGTTTGCAATAGCTGCGAACCTGCATTTTCGCACTTCCGCTTATAAGAGGGTAGACAAGGTCAAGTAGATAATCGATTGAAACCACAGTTTCACATGCTCCAAAAAAGATGTCCCCCTTGAGTAGTAGCACATTGCCTGTGGTGAAAACAGAATAAATCCAAATCATGAGGAAATAAAATAAAATACAAAAATTGAAAGTAAAGCCAATTTCACTTACATATTGCAATAAGGGCGCAGGGGCCATCATGTTTTTGGTGGATAATATGGGTAGATCGTCCGAAAAAATCAATAGGCCTCATTTTCAAGTTGCCACGGTTGCCCTGAGAGAAACAGGTTTGAGAGGCAGCATTTTCCAACAAAACATGAAATCATTCCAGCAATTTTGCACTTACAGATATAATTGCTTTCTCCTGTATATTCTCATCTTTCTCCTCGACCTCCCCATCATCTTTCTCCTTGGCCTTATCATCATCTTTCTCCTCAGTCTTCTCATCGTCTTTCTCCTCATTCTTCTCGTCGTCTCTGTCTTTGTTCTTATCCTCCTTTCCGTCTTCGTTCCTATCCTCCTCTTTCTCCTTGGGTACTAAGGGCCCCTTAAGACCCATCTTCGCTTTTTTCCTTTTCTTCTTTCTTTCATTTTTCGTTAGTGGCTAAATCAAATGCATGATTTCATTGAGTTAGCAAAACATACCTAAAAATCAAATAGAGCAAGAACTTGTAATAACACTTCAACATTCTGATCTTACCAGTATTGATTGAATCATTGAATTTGTAGGGCTAAAGTTACAATCAACAAAATATCCAACATCATTTTCCTTTTGCTCACTTTAAGAAGAGGGGAGGGTCACTATCTCTGAACAAATCAACAGCTCACCTTAGATATTGTAAGTAATGTTTCATTCCAAAGTAGGAGAGAGGGTTGTCTCTCTTTAAGGTCATTTTTTAATGAAGAGAATCTGCAACCAGAGACATAAATAAATCGAGTTTTAAAAGCAACAAAAAAAAAGTAACACTTGAACATATATATAAACTTCCATTTACCCATAAGGGGTTAGCTGAGGGCCCCTCAAAAAGGTTGAGATCCTTGCACCTAAAATTAGAGAACAAAGAAAAGATGTAACAGAATAATCACTTGCAAATATAGTTTTGCTCCAGAAAAATTAAACACTTATGTTGTAGAAATTTACAACTGGTAAGTTCTTCTGGTTCGGTTGAAGAGAATGCAAGCGCAGAATAGAACATGTCGTCTTCACACCCAACATCATGCTTTTGAGGCCCGGATAGAAGTGATTCATAAACAGCAAGAGCTACCGAAAGTCTGATGTAGGAGCTTCTGTGTATGGAGGAGCCCAACTCAACATCCTAATGAAATATCAAAGTATCCGCCTTTACCCCAATAAAGATCTCAAATCTTACAGAAATGCTGATGCATTGAAGGAAATAATATTTAAAAAAGCCCATGTACAATGGGTACCTGGCGATCAACCGTCCAGCCATGGTGTAGAGGGACACCGAGAAAACCAAAAAGTGCGGTTTCTAAGGTCTGCTCAAAACCACAAGAGCTGAAAAATGGACATCATAAACATTAGACTCTGAGAAGGACAATCACACATACTCAGACAATTAAATCAGTATCAGTCACCTAGCGAATTTCACATCAAAGTATAAACTGCCCGGAAGCTTCGGCAATACACCAAGAACTTGTTTATTGAACTCTGATAGTTCCAAGTTCTGTTCCAACTGCAGTATAAGTGGACAGTAGCATAACTTTGAGTTAATGAACATTCATTTGCAAAACAATTGCATCTATACAGTTGCATACCTGCATTTGTGTATTCCCATACAAAAGATAACTCTGGACAAGATAGATGAGGTGGCCCTCAGACACCTTATTGATATCTAAATTGAGAGTTATCTTCTCTCCAAGAAGGAGAACGTTACCTGCAGTGGCCAAGAAAACAAGTAGTGAATGGACTCTGGACTAGGCATTTCTAATAAGTTCAGTGACGAGGGAAAATACACTACAAATGATATTTAATGTCAAATTAATTTATAAACTTGTTGGATTGTACACCAAAAGGTAAAAGTAAGTAAACAACATGAATTCCGGGTAACCAGCCAAGCCACTAAAGTAGAAATACAGAGAGAAAAAAACTAAAAATTCAGCTACATTGACTTACATAGTGCTACTAGAGAGCAGTGTGTATTCTTATTCTTGAGGACAACGAGTGTGCGCCGACCAAGAAATTCAATGCATCTTGTTGCATACCACACAACAGAAGTGGCATCTTTCTTCTTTTTTTTCTTCTCTACCATGTCAAATGGCAAATTCTGATCCCGCAACTGGGGAGGAGGGTGCAGAGTTGGCAAAAACATTATTCAAATGAAAAAATGTATCCACAATATTCACGAGGCACAACTTGAAAAGAATAGTACCTCCGCTATAGTGTTTAGGTAAATCACCACTTCATCTTCTTCTATTTGATCTTTTTTTCTGTACCCTTCACGCTCAGGACATAAATCAGAATCGAGCAGACTTGTAAAAACAACACTGTTCAAGGAAGATAATAAATTCATTAGAGTTCAAACTCACAGGTAGCAATCGTAGATAACATGTATTCTTTTTATATACCCACTCAGAACAAAAGTTGCATGACAGGTTAGCAAGAAATAACAAGAACAGGAAGTTGGAACATAAAAAACACAATGCCAATGTTAACAGAAGCAAAAACAGGTGGATCAAGTAAAAAAAACTACATCTTGTCATCCAGAGATCTACGGTGAACACTATTTTATACCCATTTGACTAAACCCAGTCACAGAATCCAATATTTTACAGGTTTCATCTTCAATGTTATTTTCTCTTGCAGTAAAGAAGCGCACAGCAAAAGGCAGAAGTGGTAAATGTGCACTATGAGATGACCGCATGCAGCAACTCCAAGCATAAGTAGTCTAACATAAATTCTTGGCAAGATAATTCTGGAGAAAAGACAAACCAGAAACTCAATACAGCAGGGTGTAAAATAACAGATATGCAATACCAAGCATATGTAGTCTCAAGCCGTTCTTGGCAAGATACTTCTGGAGGAAAGACAAAGCGGAAACTCAATACAGCAAGGAGCAAAAAATACAAAATTTGTTGACGACGACTCCCAAATCATGCAGACTTGCAGGTGACCTAACTGAATGCTTTGAGAGTTGCTACGATACATCAAATAAGCCATACTGTCATACCACATAAGAGCAACTACAACAGGGCCCCTAGCCCCGTACTCAGAGCCCCTAGCTAAATATGGGTGCCCAGGCCAAAAACGCAGCTCCAGCAGGGCCCCGAAATTTGGCTGGGCACCCAAATTCCCCCTCTAGACCCCACCCCATTCCTGAAGCCTCTTGGCCAGGCCCGAAACGGCAGTTTCGTCTGGACCACTGACCCCTGCAAATCCCCTGCGAGACGCAACCTCCGGCCCCGGCGACTCTCCCGTCGAAGGTAACATTGAGGTCGCTGCTTCCTGGTCCTTTCAAGCACACAGGGAGGTGCGTGGTCACGGTCCTCATTCCTGTAGGCTCTTGGACAGGCCCAAAACGGCAGTTTCATCTGGACCACCAACCCCTGTGAATCCCTTGTGAATCGCGACCTTCGGTCACTGCAACTCTCCTGTCGAAGGTAACATTGAGGCCGCTGCTTCCTGGTTGTTTCGAGCACACAGGGAGGTGGTCACGGTTGATGTCCGACGAAATTGAGATTCATGACAATGGAATTTTACCTAGTCAACCTAGTGCACCAAAGAGGAAGGCGATGTGCTGCCAACTACTCTCTGGATGAAGACATCCAATTACGTGAACCATGGGAGAACATAAGTTTGGATCCTATCACCTGAAATGGGCAACCTGGCAAGGCCTATTGGAAGTGAATTCTGAGAACTTTCATGCCAACAGAAAATTTACATCTGACAGGAATCCAAGTTCTCTTGAGCATAGGGGGGCAACAATTCACAAAGAGTGCCAGAAGTTTCAAGGCTTATATGACGAGGTTGAGCATCTTCATCCTAGTGGAGTGCCAAGAATTTTATTAGGTGCTGCATCATTGTTGGTACAAGCTGCTGCATCTTTGATATTATTAGGTGCTGCATCTTCGATTTCAGTTACTAGAAGCTCAAAAATGTTGCTAAAAGCTGCTGCTGCATCTTTGGTTTCAGTTGCTAGAAGCTCAAAATGCATATGCAGATGGAAAGAAGGGGTTTCCTTTCCTTCATTGTTGGCTGAAGATTAGGCATAGCGAGAAGTTTGTGCCCCCTCTCAACAACAAAAGGCCAAGGGAAAGCAATTCACCAGCAGCAACAGTGGCTGTGTTTAATGTAGAAGATGGTGAGAGTAGAAAGAGCCAAACCCATGGCCCTTCCATGCCTAGCAGTAAAAGGCCTATGGGTAGGAAGCAAGCAAAGGAGAAGCTGAAGAAATGAGAACAAATGGACTATAACTTGGTAAAGAAATTTCTTGCAGATTTCAGCGCAGGAAACAGGGCCTATGCGTGAGGAAATAGAGGAATTAAGAATAGGGGCTTTGTTTTGAGGGCTCCTGTTAGAGATCAGCCCAGAAAAAAGGCCCCTCAAAAGTGGGGGAAGCAGCCCTGTTTTGGGGGCTACTGCTGGAGTTGTTCTAATAGAATTATAACAGACAATTTAATTAAAATTAAAAGTTTATAATGTGTAAGAACACATTGTTCAAAATACTAGTTTTGTAAACAAGGAAACTGTTTTTGTATAAATGCATGTAAAATAAAGCACAGATTCCAATAAAAGTGATTGTTCTTACACTTCATAGTCATCTTTCTCATGTATCTTAAGTACTTTGAGGCCATATTGCACAGCCAGCTTGTCGGCACACTTTAGGAAAAACACACGACCTTCATGTCCAAGCCCTGGTATTCATAAAGACATGTACCAATTTTAACACAATAGGAACAATGTAATGACAAGAAAAAAAGAAAGTATTGATGTAACAAGTCATCCATAATCATGTTTGTATGATTATTCCTTCAAAATGACCAATAGTTGTATTATTCGTTTGTTCATGACAAATTAGTATACAAGCCATACGCTGATGTTGTAATTATTAACATTAGTGACCAACCGAAACATAACACACTTACCAAGCTGAGAACCAGGAGCATTAGTAACAGCAATCATTCTCATGTGATCTGCAAGCAGGCGGTAAGCTGTATCAACCCCATCAGTATCAGCATCACCAACTTTACCAGAATAGTTCTCGATTCCTTCACCAGTTCTCTGCATATATGCTTATAAGTCATCAGTACATGTCATTGACCATGGAAATCAATAATATTACACAGCCAGTTATCATTTGCAACAAAAGATAACTTGAAGTGCACATGAAAACTTACTTCATAGATGCACTGAATTATGTCAGCATAGTCATCTACTTCATAGTGGCTTCCTTTCTTTTGAAGGATGGCAGCCAAACATTGAAGATTAATCCCTGTTAAGATATGTTTGGCTTGCAAAGGACTCAATACGCCATCTGCTTGCCTATTGAACTAAAAAAGGAAGGAAAAAAAAAGAAGTTAATAAATAATTTAATATAAGAAGCTTCATATATTTATGCATGCAAAAGTCCTTAAAACAACCTCAACAAATACAAGTCGGGATATCTCAATAAGTTTGCCATTAACACCACCTTGACCATTTGAACCATCATTGAAAATTCCAACAGATGGCCCACAGGGACCAGTTTCACCGCTCATCCAAAAATCTTCCTATTATTCAAACACACAGTCCATTAATATCCGCATAAATTCAAAAAGAAATTGATAAGACATTACCTTAGACATAGAAGGTAGGATTCTTTCTTCCCCAATGCATTTCTGCAATGCAGTTTTTGATTCATTGTCTGGACTCAAACCAGAAGATGTACCACCACCGAAGTATGTGGCATATATTCTAGATTCTGGTAATCGATATTTCTGCATATTGAAGAAGTACACACACAAAGAAACTTTTAAGCATGTCTTAATACTGCTCCCTCAAATTGCAATGATGTAAATATCATCTTTTAAGCATGCTTCCATCATATCAAATAAAAGTAGACCCTGGTACTAACACTAAGTTTGAAATGACCTGTAGATGTGTCACAATTCCTACTTCATAAACTATACCCAAACCTTTCACTATGTCTTAACACCGCTCCCTCAAATTGCAGATCTAAATGTCATCTTTTAAGCATGCTTCCATGATATCAAATATAAAAGTAGACCCTGGTACTAACACTAAGTTTGAAATGACCTGTGGACTTGTTTCACAATTCCTATTTCAGAAACTATACCCAGACCTTTCACTATTACCACAACTCATGAAACAAGACCACACAGAAACTAAAGGGGGAGCAGAAGCTGTACCATGCTGAGAAGACTGAGTAACAACCCAATAGCTTCCGCCTTCAAGTAGTCCCCACAAGACCAACTCCCGAGGATTTCTGTAAATCGATGGTAAGTGGTGTCGCTTCTGAAGTGTTCGATCACATCATCATCGGAGCTGGTGATAATGCATCTCAAAGAAAAGCAGGTGCGATGCCTCCCTGTGCCATTAAGGGCCCCCTTGAACCGATTCAGGCATGTATGTATCAGGGGCACCTTGGGATCATCGATGGGGATCACCGGAGTCGATGACAACTTCGCGTGCTGATTTTCCCCGAGATAGGAGAAAAACGTCTCACGAATCTCATACACATACACCGACCTGGCCAGCGTAGCTCCCACCATCACCAGAGATTCTACGACGAGCAAAACAAAGGCCGCAGGTCAAGCATCAAACAATGTATTAAACAAAAATCAATCTGCAGAATAGATCAAGGCAACCTTGACTTGAACTCGAAGGCGGGGAAGTAGAGAAGTAGAGCGGCGTGGACTGACCTGTGAGTCCGGAGCACGGCAGCGAGAACGGATCAGGGAGGGCGACGAAGACCGGCGAGGAGCCGAGGACGTACGGCGAACGTGAGGGGCGAGGAGGCGCGGCTTCCGGGGGTGAGGAGTGGATGGACTAGGGTTAGGGTTCGGAATGGAAACTCGCTGCCTGCTGCCACTGAGAGGAGAGAGAAATTAGGCGCGAAACGGGGATTTTGAGCGGGTCCTATATGCAGGGCCGGTCCTGGCCCAGGGCCCAATTCATGGAAGGGGCACCGGCCCATATGCTATACTCTGCCTATATGTACTACTATTGGTTTAATTTCTATGAATTAAAGAAGGTGAGCCTTCCAAAGGTATTATTGTCCACGTTCTCTACAACTTTTAACACACTCTCACACGCATTCAATTTTTATATTTTCTATAACACATTTCTCTCTCTCACAAACCAAAGCCACCTAGCCGTTCTTTTATATCTATCATTTATTTATTACTGTCAACTTAATTATTATTACATCTAGTTACATTATCCTATTATACCTATTTGTCTTACTTGAAAAAAATATATTATTTGTTGTTTGGCCATTATAGTTAATTTATAGATTATATTTAATTAACTTCCTAAAATTAGGTTTAGCGTGGTTTAAGGTTGCTTGATAAGAAAATTAAATATATTTAATTATTATTTTGTAACACTTATGGTTGGTTTGTAATATGTTTTGCCCTTTTTAAATTATGTGTTGGAGTTATTTGTTTTATAGCTCAAACATAATAATAAATTAACTAAATGTCATTAATAATTAATACTATAATAAATTTATATATTTTATATATTAAAGATAATGCTGATAATAATTTAATTGTAATTTTATTTATTAATGACCTTTAGTTAAAACATCATCATGTTTGAACTATTAAACAAACCATTCTTATTACATATAACAACTACTAAAAAATGTGAACCATATCAAAGTTAACAATTAATTAATCTATGCAATAGAAGGATATTACATGATATTTGATTATGGTTATACAATTTATATTTTTCTGCTAAGAATTCTAACGAAACTTTGTAAGTAATTTTACTACTATAATATTTGTGCCGCTAAAAAGGGTTTAGTTGGTCAATTAGTTATTTGATTTGCCTGAACATTTACATTGAGACAATATATTTTGTAAAAACACTCAAGATATTATCTATTGTAACTTTGGAAGATGAAAGTGTGTCATTAACCTTCATATAGGTGATGAATTGTTAGCTATTTTGATGAGGTTGTGCCTTACATAAGATATTGTTTAGCATAATATTTTTTGGGGCTTTGTTAGTGTTATATAAATACTCTAGTTTTTATACATATAAAATACTTGACACTATTTTTGTATTTGGCCCAGGGCCCAATAATATTCAGGACCGGCTCTGCCTATATGGAGTGGGTACAGTTGTGTGAAAACGGGGGTGGGTTCACAGGGAAAGTTGGGTTGGCAATTGGGGCGTCCTGCCCATCTGCCGTGCTCCTCCGCCAACCGGTGTGGTTCGCCCACGCGCCAGTGCATAGTATAGGGGTGTCCATAGGCGGTGTTTGGTTACCTAGAACTTCTTAGAAGTTGTGAGAAGTCAAAAAAAAATTTCGTAGCCAAACAATCTAGAACTTTTTTAGACTTTCCAAAAGTTCATGAGAAGTCCAAAAGTCCCTGAAAGGGCTGCTTCTTGGGACTTCTTTTGGTAGGGCCCACCAAAAGGTGTCTTAATTTGTGTACCCATACTCTCTCCCTCCCCCTCTCTCCTCTCTCTCTCTCTCTCTCTCTC